AAAAAAAAAAAAAAAGGAATTTTCTTTTTCTATTTTTTTTTTCACTCACATCTGCGACCCACTTGAAACGGGTCCGCGACCCACTCTTGGGTCGCGACCCACCAGTTGAGAACCACTGCTCTAGAAGTTAATGCCGTTTAAGTCTGCTGTATACAAATGGAGCTAATGCATAAGAATAAAAGAAAATGCAGGGATAGGATAGTGTTTCTTGTCATTGGCTTTTCCTTTTCTCTGATCTACTTTAAATGTATGTAAAGTGCTTGTGCCTCAAAAACATAATAATAATAATAATAATAATAAATGGGATTTATATAGCGCTTTTCTAGACCCAAAGACGCTTTAAGACAGATGTACAGATTTGCAGTCCTTTAGAAGAAAACCAACAAGCTCTGTAAGTTTTAAACAACTGTGTATTATTTATGTGTATGCCCATGCAGCATGGCAACTCAAGTTTTCCATCGAGCCAATAAAACTGTGGGAACCATGCACACACAAAAAGTGAGAAATACCGGTAGACACAGAGGCACACTGACACTTACAAATGTAGGTTTTTGTAAATGCCTCCCCAGAGACATGGGAACAAACAAAGAGACTTCCATCCCTCCACTCTGATAGGCAACAAAAAATGTGTGCGTGTTTCTATTTGTCGGTCCTTTTATCTCTGCGTTTCTGCACATGTAAGCATAATAGTGTGTGTGTGTGTCCGCCCACCAGTCCAGTCTCCCACAACTCGGAGATGAACGCCAAACGTTTCCTTGTTCTCTGTGGGACACTGCAAGGAGTTAGAGAGAGAGCAGACAGTGAGTCACGACACAATACACACACACAGAGACATACACAAGAACACACACTCCTAGTTGTTGGACTCATGTGCAACTAACACAAAGACAGACATGCACACACTCAACCATGCTACATAGCGAGAACTCTTTTCATTACATTTTACAATGCACGCACACACACCCAGACACACTGATACACACAACCTTCCTGTTGGCAGGCTGCATTACTAGCCTCAGGGGTCTGTCTGCTCTCTGTCAGTGTGAGTCGCTGCCCTCCTCCTCACAGCCCAGGCATAGGCATGCACATACTGGTGTGTGTGTGTGTGTGTGTGTGTGTGTGTGTGTGTGTGTGTGTGTGTGTGTGTGTGTGTGTGTGTGTGTGTGTGTGGGTGTGTGTGTGTGTGTGTGTGTGTGTGTGTGTGTGTGTGTGTGTGTGTGTGTGTGTGTGTGTGTGTGTGTGTGTGTGTGTGTGTGTGTGTGTGTGTCTCTCTTTGTGAGTTTGAGTCCATTCCTGTATGCTGACTTAACAGCAAGTTGTTTGTGTGTCTTCCGCTTTTACCTCATACAATCTGAACTTAATCTGAAAACATTTACAAACAATCTGAAACTGAATATATCTGGACGACCCAGCTGTCATTCACATGTCAGCCAGCAGCAGAGGAGGGCGGGATGTTGAGAGAGACAAATAACTGCATGTTCTTTGCCAGGGGGAAGAACATTTTAGAAACTGTAAAGACGTGCGTGTGCGTGTGCGTGTGCGTGTGCGTGTGCGTGTGTGTGTGTGTGTGGTTGCATTGTGTCATGAGTGAGGAATGTGTTGCAAAGGGTCTTACCGTTGTGAGTGTGAAGGGATGGTTCTCAAATGAAGAGACACCTGGACAGTTAAGAACAATATACTGAGAAAGAGAAGGAGGAGATGGCGAGACAGAAAGGGGCAGAAAGAGACAGAGAGGATTAGAGGGGGGGCATGTTGAGAGCAAACCAAAGAAAGTGCAGGAGAAAAAGTTGGATAAACCTTTTAACTTAGGAATCATACAGCAGAGGCGTTTATATCGTCCTCATAAAAGATAATTTGTCAAACTTAATAGCAAAGTAGTTCAAACATTGAGCAGATAAAGATGTAATGTCTTCTCACCTGTCCAGGTCGAGCTTTAAAGTGTTTCTTCAGCATGCGCAACTCGATGACATCACAGGGGTGCCTGATGACTGTCACTATGGTTACAGGGTCGCTGCTCCGGATGTAGCGGTAGAAACGCTCGGCACAGTAAAGACAGAGAGGACCGGACACCCAAAGCCATGTCTACAAATACACAAAGAAAAAAACAGATTTTATCCTTCGTTATATTAACACTTGATCGTTCTAACAAGTAATGGAGGCATTTCGAAAGAAGACTGGCACAAATACAAAAACAAATTATAGCTTTCATTTAATGCTGAAGGCTGCTTTGCTGTCTGCACATGAGAGACATAGTGGGTTTTGCCATTCACACTTACAGTTATTTTGAGTTTTACATTAACGTTACATTAAGACATTTGGACCGACACACTGTTCTACAGGCATGGCTGTACAGCAGTGGTCACCAACCTTTTTAAGCTCAAGATCACCGACCTCGGCCTAGGTGAAAGGCGAGATCTACCTATTGCAGAATTGAGTGAAAAAGACGGCCCAGACAATGCTTCCAATTTGAGGCCTTTTATATAGGCTAATTGCATCTGAATTACTGTTACAATGAAGGCTCCATAATCAGCTCACGGCATATAGGCAGGGGTAAAGTGCTATTGGGGGGTGGACCTCACCTCCTCTAGGGGGGTCCAGGGAAGATTTTTTTTTAAATATTGAAGTTGAAAGCATCAATCTGGTGCACTTTGAGAGCAACATGAAGAGATCAACATGGATACCTCTCTCAGCACCCATATGAAACAGAACTGTAGTGTAAACAGATTTTCTTTTTCTTTATGGATATTTTACAAATCACTCCCCTTTTAAACTGTATTCTTGTTTTACTGACATACTGTATAGTAGGCTATTTCATACCTGTTTTTCATTTATTCTCTTATTGTTTGTATAACTATAATGATCGTATGAAGGTGTGCCGCGGAAATAATCTTTTGAATAATTTGTGACAAAACCGTTCTAAACCGTTCCTTTAGCTCACCTGAGCCCCTCAGTCTGACAGGAGAGGACTCTCCTCCAGCTTGTTGTGGAAACAGCTCCTTATGTCCGTTAGTTAGTTAGTTAGTGCAGCTAGCTAACCAGATGCTAACATCACGGTCCCCGCTAGCACCGGTCCCTCTCTCTCCCTCTCTCCCTCTCTCTATCACACTAAATGCGCTATTGCCACACACACACAAAGCCGAGCTTGAATGACACAAGCACACGTGTATTTCCATGCAACTCTCTGATTGGTGTGGTGTCTTGCCTCTGTTGCGTTCAGTGAACACGGGAAATTACAGTCCTGCCGTTGTCTCTTGTGTCATGATGAGGTTCACGTAAAGCACGGTTAATGTATTATATTATTGAGGTGTCTCAAATATACATCAATCAAGTGGCACCTGGAGGGGTGGTGGATGATAGGTTTACATCTAAAAACGTATTTTTCAAACATTATTATTTAAATTTAATTTTTCTTTCTTTTGTTACTTTTTTTTTTAACGGTCCGCGATCTACCCGCACCACACTCGCGATCGACCGATCGCGATCGACTGGTTGGCGACCACTGCTACAGCATGTTGTTGAGAAATGGTTACCTGAACCACTTTTCTCTGTGCAGCCCTGCAGAGAGGTTTGCTTTGATAAGTGCACATTTTCAACAGCCTTCAGATGGACTCTGATGAAGTTTTGTTACTGAAGTATTTTAAACATATCTGCAGACATGCTTAAGCTAGATTTTATAGCATTTTAGAAGGTAAACTTCAAATTATTAGGGCAGCGTTCACGCAACCAAGATGGTTACCCCTGTTGCTTGGTTATTGTCACACCAGGTATATTACAATGAAGTATAAAGTAGCTAGTTCTATTGAGTTAAAAACAATTTAAAGATATAAATGGACAGTGTATTAGCAGGCTGTTTAAATTAGTAAAATAACTTGCATCTGTGTTGACTTTGGATTTTAAAAAGATATAACTTCAGATCCGTTCTTACTTTTGCAAAGTGAACACATCAATGCTGTAGATGAATCCATCTCAAAATTCTAACGGGAGGTGGAATTTTTTCCCCTCAAGGCTGCTTATAATTTCGATCTGGGTGGTATAAAAAGACTGCAGCGTTAGCTCTGATACAGGACACGTTGGGGAATCCTATGTTGCCTTTAATCAAGGCTGATTCTCCTAACACAACAAAGCTCTGAATCAGACTCGAGAGTATATTTGTGAGAACACACGTGAAATCTCTCCACCTTTCTATCTGTGTTTCTGCTTCTTTTTGTTTGCAGTTACCCTGAGCAGACTAATTGCTCACAACTCCAGTAAAACCTGCAAAGCACAATGGGGTTTAAGGGGGATTTTATGGAACCAGCTCGCTGCTTAACGACCATGTGCAAACACATAATCACACCCGCAGGAAGAAACACACACAAACACCGGCCTTGAAGTAGGAAGAGGATGCCTGCCCCTCCCCTACAGCACTGCACCTCTAATAAACTGCCTCCGACACCTCCCAAATACTCAACACATGTATTCACTACTTATACAAAACTTTACAACACACACACACACACACACACACACACACACACACACACACACACACACACACACACACACACACACACACACACACACACACACACACACACACACACACACACACACACACACACACACACACACACACACACACACACGAGCTGTGGTGATAAGTGACAGTTTTTACCAGAGAAAATGCAGATGGAAACTCCACATGCCACATGAAAGGTCTTGCTCTTGTCCAGCAGTCTGCGAGTTTCTCTGCTCGATACCTGCATGAGTGTGTGTTATAACACAGACAATAGTGTTATTTTTGTGGCTTAGAGTCAAGAGAAACATAACACATTATACTGAGTTTTCGATATATCCTCTTCCCCCCCTATATTTAGATTGCATCTTTACCAACGAGGCAACTTTAATAAATCTTAACGTCAAAATCTCCCAAATGTACCTCATAGGAAACATTGCATTTAAGTAGTGAATTTCCCATATGCCCATATCTACACATGAGTAGATATAATAAAAACATACTAACAGGAACACCCTAACAGATTTTGAAAAAACTATTGTCCCTCAGGAATCCTGCACACTTTCAAATTGACATCGGGTGTTTCTTACAATTCTATAAACCATTTCATCCCATTCCTCTCTTTTTTACCGCCCTTCAAGTCAGTCTCTTTCTTACCATGTGTGTTCCTCGGACAAAGGTGAGCAGGGAGCGACACATGGGCAGCAGCACCAAGCTGCAGTTCAGGTTCAGCACAGACGCAGATGCCCTGCTGATGCACAGCCCTAGCTGGAAAACACAGACGCGTTGTAAGGTTGCTGATGAAGCGGATGTAAAGCGATAAGGGTCTGGCGGATTAAGATAAACACTTTTGAGCAGTTCCTTTTCAGATTTGGACTATTCAAGGAGCGCAATGAGGGCTTGAGGCATGACTTCCCCGCCACACAGGGTTTTCAAAAACACCTTTGTCCTTCTCAGTTTGGAGAGCTAATGATCGTTCTCCTTAAGCCGCCTCTTTGCTGAGGCTTTGACTTCAAATAGAAAAGTATTTTGTTTTGTTAGAAAGATCACAGTTTAGCTGCCTGTGTACACAGTCAAATCTCTGTAAATGTCCACAGAATCACTTCTTCCTGTCTTTCTGTCTTCAGAACTTCTTCCAAAAGTTCTTACTCACCTAATATGCTCTTTCTCACTCTCTCAAACCTCTCATAGCTACAGCTCAATAATCAAAGCCGTTTTCAGGCGGAAACACTGGATGTTCTTTTTCGTCTACAAAACTCAGCACATTTGAACACTTTCTTGGCATCCTCTTTGAGCACTGTTGGTGCCGTCTCTTCAGATTATCCATAATAAACTCAAACATCTCCAGTGTAAGAGATGAAGGTGTGTTAGTGTTTAGATCTGAGAAAAAAATATAAAGATGTGTGAAACTGAGGTCCAACATTTTAGGAGATTTATATTCATTTTTTGTTTTAAGGTCTCTCTTAGAGGAGAGGTCTTACTCTAAAGATGCCTAATTAAAAAAAAAAAAAGAAGCTAATTGCTGCACAGCTGACTGAAACATAAACTGTGTGACTGAATAGAATACTGCAGGGGTCCTGAAATATAAGAATGGAGCACACAATTAGGCCAAAATCAGAATCTACATTTAGCAAGGCAAGGTTAACACAAGCATACTCAAAAGTCTGAAACCTTTACCCTTTCAAAACATCCCACACACACTCACTCATCACAGCTTCCCAAAGACAAGCAGCTGACGGCAAAACCACAAGCAGGAGATCTGATATCCTGTTTTCTGTACATCCCCAACACCAAGAACAACACACACACACACCGCACACACACGACATGCAGGTCAAAGAGATAAGATGCTTAAGTTAAATCTAAATTCCTTTCAGCCGTATAAAGCTTTGAAATACATCTCCATCTAGCAAGTGAGTGCGTACACATGCATGCACGCACACAGACACACACACACACACACACACACACACAC